GTGTGTGTGTGTGTGTGTGTGTGTGTGTGTGTGTGAGCTCTTACTGGGTTGGACGGTGAGACTAGCCTCAGTCACAGGGATAATAGTCCTGGCTGCAGTGTACTGGGCGAAGCAGTTGTAGTCGCTTCTGCTGTCGCTGCTGATGAGGTTGGCGAAATACAAGTTTCCGTCCAGGCCGGTCATCACTCTGTCATTCTGGTCAATGTAACGCATTTCTGTGGAAAACCAGATAAATTTAAACTTCATTTTGTAGGACCTGTGGTGGCCCTGAAGGCACTCCAGCAGGTCACTAAATACAAACACTAATTTAAAAAGAAAAACACCTGGACGATTCCACTTTGGACTTCAGAACCGTAAATTATTCTGCCATTCGCTCTCTTTGTTTAGATCAGCAGGCAGACAGTCACAGCGCCACCTACTGCCCAAACCGTGAAAAGGCTGAGATTTATAGCCTGTCTGAGAATATTCCTGGATAGATGTAGTCACGTTTGCATCACCAGTAACATTAATATTTTCAACAAACGTCTCTGGTTCCAGTGACACTGACCACTTCCCTTTGCTAATGTCGTGTTTATTCATTTGTAGTTGCGTTTGGTGAATTGTCGAAGTGGTTTTTACTTCACCGTAAATGAAATAAATACCTTTCCTTCATGCAAACCACACAGATGTTCACCTGACCCCGTTTATCAACTGAGCTGTGAGAAAGACGTGGACAGGAGGAGATACTGACTGCTTCCCATCCAGTAGATGTGAGGAGGCGTCAACCTCTTCGGAGGGTTACAGGTCAGGATCAGGCTCTCCGATTCATACGCCGTCTTTTCCAGTCTGTTCTCTTTTCCTACAAACGGATAAGCTGAAACACAAAACACCAGAAAAAATCTATCACAAGTAAAGATAACGGCACAATAAGCCTGACAGCCTAGCCGGGTCAGGGTCGGCCCAGATCAAGGAGAACCACACCGGTTCTCCTTGATCGCTGCTGTGGGACTCACGCTCCACTATGACCTCTACGGTCTGCGTCATGGCGGTGCCCAGGTCGTTGGAGGCGAAGCATTGGTAGACGCCGGCGTAAGACTGCAGCTCCACCGCTTCTTCTTCTTCTTCTGAGGCGTTAATCTTTCCAGAACCGCTCATCTCTGAGCCGAACTGGACCCCGTCCTTCAGCCAGCGGATCCTACAGGCAGAGGAGGGAGGAAAGTAACAGAGTTCAGACACAGGCTGAGGGATGAGTCTCCCTGGGAAACGGTTACCACGGCGACGGGAAGCACTGAAGATGACCTCACTGTGTCCAGTTGGTTATCAAAGATTAAAAAACAGTTTGTATTCTGGCTGATGGCATTAATCCGATCAATCGATTATTGAAATAATCATTAACTAATCGATAATTGGAGCATACACACTCAAAAAAGAACGAAACACTCAGAGCAGCAACTAAGCCAAAACTTCACAAATAATATAAAGATTTTGAATTTAAGATTTAAAAATAAATCTTAAGTCTGTAAATCTGTTTTACCCAGAATTCCTCTGGTTTCAGCTTCACCTGGCTCAAAATCTGTAAAAAAATATCTTATAAAGCTCCTTTTACTATCAATTACTAATCAGATGATACAAAAAATAATCATCCGATCGGCTCTTTACTGCACTGATGTCAAGTCAAGCAGAAACAGCTGAACTTTTCACATCCTTAATGCTGTTGTTGCATTTTAGGCAATAAAATGTTTATTTTCTTATTCAAAAAATTAATAAAGTATTTATTTGCATCTTCAAATGTATTTCTAATATTGTGTAAAAAAGGTTAAATTGGTTAAATGAAAAATCTGCAGTGTGCCAGTTTTCATCCAAATAGTAATCAATTACTAAAATAATCGGTTATACTTTACTCTCCTTTTGCTTTTTTAATCTATTCTGACTTCTGAGCTTTTTCCTGTAGTTGTTCTAAAAGTATTTTTTATTTTCTGAGAAACCATCCACTGCTGTCCTGCTGGTAGCAGTTTTTCTGATAAATGTTCGGTAAAATAATCGAGCATCTGTCCCGGTGCGTCGGCCACGCCGCCGCTCGAGTCGCCTGTAACTTTTCCATCCGTTGTTTATTTTTAGCGTTTGCTTATGACATTAAGTCCTGAAGCAAATGAAATGAGAGGAAGTGTTGTCAGACGAGATGGAGTGAGATGGAAAATGTTTAACTCCAATTTTATTAAGCGTGTATTTGTTTCCATGGCAACCTGAATGTCAGAGGGAGGAAATGAAGAGCAAACGGGATGTTAGCGTTCACAGGCGGCGCACTCACTGCGGGGTCGGGTTGCCGGTGGCGCTGCAGGTCAGAACCACGTCTTCTCGGAAAAACGCCGTCACTGATTTGGGAACCTCCGTCAGATTGGGAAGCTTTTGCACTGAGAACATGAGGAAAGCACAAATCACAGAGGAAAATCCCCAAAGCCAGAGCAAATATCAGCACTGCTGGTTCCCAGCACCCAACTGGTTTTAAGAAGCTTAAATGGCTCAAACTTATTTAAAGCTCTGCAATGAGATCAAATAATCAAAAGTCACTAAATACTCCCCGATCCAGACTCCGGCTTCTTATACTGGGCCTGATAAAAAGGTTAGATGGTTTTAAGGTTCTTAAGACCCATTTTTATTTTTTCATTTTATATTTATTGACCTTTCTTGCAAAGCAGACATGACAGAGACAATAACTGGATGTTATATCAGCTGCAGAGTAGAAAATAAACCTACCAAACAGTAAACAACAAATTAAACATCTGACAGCAGCATAAACAGAAAAAAAATAAAAATTTAAATAATTAAAATAGATAGACAAATGTATTAATTAATAGTCCATGGAGACTAAGACAGCATTTAAGTCTATGTAATTTTGTTTTCTTTTTATTGTAAGTAGTTTAATTACTGATGTCTGTTTAACTGTTTAAATCTGATTTATAAATAAATTTGATATTGATCATGCATCCCAGATCAGAAAGTTGAACTATTCAGATTTTAACATAAAAATCCTCAATTTTCCAAATCCTGGAGATATAACAAAATTAATGAAAAGTTAACACAACTTCTACTGTAAGTTTATCTTTCACAAACTCACATTAAAGCTCAACATCTAACATGTTCCATATTTATTTGACTTAAAGAGTAGAAGTTAGTAACACAACTAAACCGGCTGGAACGTTTTACAGTGTGCTAAACTGGAAAACAGTTTGTGTTTTATGAAACCTTTAACATGTACAAACATGATTAATTTATCCTAAACTTCAGTTATCCTCCTGATTCCTGAGTGCAGCATTAATCCAGGTAAATCCAGGTGAAACCCGACATTCCCATGAACTCAGAAACATTTCAAGATTACAGTCCTTTAATGTGGGATTAAATCTGTTTCTCCTGGCCTTGGCTTTAGCCGGAAAACTAATCTATGTCTCATCATTTTTGCATGAGAAGACTTTATGAATGGAACATTGTGCTTCAGACGTTTCCACACAGAAACTGCAGTGTGAGCCGTTTGCTTGCAGGAAGGAGCTTCAACCAGGAAGCAGACACGAACGTCTTCTCACTAAACATGTCTTTAACTCTGGGTTTGAATTAAACTCAAACTTACAGTTTTTCATTCATTAGCGGACACCGACCAAAAATTATGAAAATTACATCATCTGCCTAAATGAAAGTTATAATGTAACGCTTCATATGCATGACGTTTAGAAATAACAGATATTTTTATTCCTGTCAGCGGTAAAACAATAAAAACACTTACAGGGCTGTAAATTATCTGTCCACACGGAGGCGTAGAAGAAAAGAGAGGAAACAGACATGTTTAATACGGTTCAGCGTTAACCTTTGACCTTTCCAGCCATAAAAACAAAGACCAGACTGACAGCAGTTGCTACTGGAATCATCTGAGCATCAACCCATTAATGTGTGTTAGAGTCAGATCAACATCAGCTGCTGAAGTTTCCTGTTTGTTACGTACAAACTGCAAACTGAGTGATGAACTCAGTAAAATAACAAAAGCTGCTAAAATGGGAGCAATAAAAGTTTCACTGCAACTTTAACCTTTTCTGCAGTTTGTTGAACTTCATGTTGTGAGGTGGAAAGAAAAGTTTTCACAAACATAGAATCTGAAAATAAGACTCACTCGGTTGCTACTAAATAAAATCCAAAGCAACCAGTTCTGTTAGATGTAACCCAGTTTCTGATGGTGACTAAATCCTAAACAAACAGACAGAAATAGTTTGGGATGTTTTCACCTCTCATAGTCCAGTAGACTCGGTTCGATTTGGGACCAAAGTTGAAACATTTGTTGGTTCTGAGTCAAACCAACCAAACCCTTTGAGCAACCTGTTCCCCTTCTCACCTGTGGGGGCGCTGCACCAAGAACCATTGAAGGAAGCGACATTAAAACCTCTGAAGAAGACACTGAGTGAAACTTCCTTCTTCAAGTGGAAACAAAAATGAAGCGGCACAAGGCTAGCATGTTTGTTTTGGTTGTATTTACCCAGAATGCCTTGTGCTGTAGTCCATTTCCTGCTTTTGCAGCGTTCTCTGGTCCACTTGGTGTTCACATAGCATGAACCAGAATTCACTTTAGTCGGACCCAGGCCGAGGTAGGCGGACCAGAGTCTGATTAGCATCCACACCTCCTTAACAGAACCAAACTTTTCTGGAGTTGGACTAAAGCGGCTACACATGGCTAGTGGGAACCCCGAAGCACATTTTGGTATTTAAACTCAGTTTAGTCGCTTTAATCCAACTCCAGAAAAGTCTGGTTTGTTTGGTGTGAATGATAATCAAACTCTGGTCCACCTACAAACCTCGGTCTGGGTTCGGCTGAACTCTGATTCAGTTCTTTGCATATGTGAACGCCAAGCGGACCAGAGACCACTCCAAAAACTACAGAGCAGGGCATTCTCAGTAAATACAACCAAAACAAACGTGCTAGCCCAGCGCTAGCAGCAGAAATGGCTCCTGGTCTTTAGCCAATGACTAAAGAGAAATCCTCCAACAGCTAAAATGTGATCTTCTCTGTTCTTAGTGCAGCGCCCCCACAGGCCGGGAGGGGAACAGGTTGGTTTGACTCACAGAAAAAGAGAACCACAGCAGCTGGAGGTGGAGCAGATGATGAAGTTTTCATCCCCAATCAAACCGATTGGCTAAGTCAAAGTCAAAATAAACCTAAGTTAAGCTGAGTATAAGAATACAACGTTTGAATTTCTCATTTTTAAATGTATGTATCCTTTCCACCTCAAAATTCTCCTTCTTTTTGTGTTGGTCTATTTAATAAAAAGCCCAGCGTGTCTTACTGGCCGGGCGGGGCGGGTGTGGCATGCTTTGGGGGTGAATGTTTGGATTTAGGGGTAAAGAAGGACGAACTGTGAAGGTCGGGGTTCCTTTAACCGGGTAAAGGACACACTGCTTGGAGGAAACGGGTTTCTGTTTCCAGAGATGTTTGCGGCGGTGCGGTACTCACAATGATTCGGGATGGTGATGGCTCCCTGAGCAAACAGGAAGTACAGAGGGAGGAGGAGGGAGAGGACGGGGGGACAACGCCCCCTACAGCCCATCCACAGACGCTGCAGCGCGCACATCTCTTAATGTCCCATCAAAGGTGACAGGAAACACCCACACACTCATCAACACGGGACAACACACACCCTCCCAGTTTAGGCACACACTCTCCAGGGAGACACGCTTAATTCAGTCTGCGCCGGTTTGCTCTGGTGACAGAAGCTGCTTCCCGCTTTCCACAATCCCTCCGTCTGCAGAGAACTGAGGAGGAAGAGGAGGAGGAAGGGGGTTGACCGAGAGAACAAAGGAGGATGAGAGGGGAAGAGGCCAGGACACATGGGACAGGAAACACAGACAAAAAGGAAACATCATTAATTTCATCTAACAAGACAAACAAGACATTCAAATTAACAATCATAGCTCATGAAAAATTAACGCAGAACAACAAATCTGAATGTTTAAATAAACTTTTATCTTCAAATCATGGATGGAAACATTATGGCTGAAGAGGACTGGGGGGATTTTGTGTTGAACAGATAAAGCAGTGAAGTCATCAAGATATCGCAGCTCAGATCAGAGCAGCAGAAACATCTTCACCACTAATTAGCTTACAATGAGGGAGGGATGGAGGGATGGAGGATGGAGGGGTGGAGGATGGAGGGGTGGAGGATGGAGGGGTGGAGGATGGATGGAGAGGTGGAGGATGGAGAGATGGAGGATGGAGGGGTGGAGGATGGATGGAGAGGTGGAGGATGGAGAGGTGGAGGATGGAGAGATGGATGGAGAGGTGGAGGATGGAGAGATGGAGGATGGAGGGGTGGAGGATGGAGGGATGGAGGATGGAGGGGGGGAGGATGGAGGGATGGATGGGTGGATGGAGGGATGGATG